TCCCATCCCATCCCATCCCATCCCATCCCCATCCCCTCCTTTTTCCCATCCCTGTTCCTGTCCCCATCTCCACACCATCCTATTCCCCATCCCTTCCCATCCCTGTCCCCATCCACACCCCATCCCAACCCCATAACGCTGCACACCATAGAGCTGGGAGGTGTGGGGGTGTCCGTGTGCACAGCTGTGCAAAATGCTGTGTGTGCAACGTGTGTGTGTGTGCAATGCATGGGGTGTGCATGGGGCGTGTGAGCAGCACAGGGGGTGCATGGGGTGCACATAGGGGACGCTATGGGGTGGATATAGGGGATGCCATGGGGTGCACATAAGGGATGCATGAGTGGCACATGGGGTGCACATAGGGGATGCTATGGGATGCACAAAGAGGGTGCATATGGGGGGTATACATAGGGGATGCTATGGGGTGCATATAGGGGGTGCTATGGGGTGATATAGGGGATGCCATGGGATGCACATAGAAGATACATATGGAGGGTATGCATAGGGGATGCTATGGGGTGCACGAGGGGTGCAAGAGTAGCACATGGGGTGCACACAGGGGGTGCTGTGGGGTGGATATAGGGGATGCCATGGGGTGTGCAAGGGGTGCACAGGGTGAGTGCATATAGGGGGTGGGCATAGGGGGATGCTATGGGGTGGATATAGGGGATGCCATGGGCTGGATATGGGGTGCACGAGTGGCACATGGGGTGCACATAGGGGGTGCATATAGGGGGTGCCATGGTGTGTGCTATGGAGTGGATATAGGGGATTCCATGGGGTGCACATAAGGGATGCACGAGTCGTACATGGGGTGCAGATAGAGGATGCTATGGGGTGCATATAGGGGGTGCTATGGGGTGGATATAGGAAGTGCTATGGGGTGGATATAGGGGATGCAGGGGGTGCACAAGGGGTGCACGAGTGGCACATGGGGTGCACACGGGGGATGAATATAGGGGATGCTATGGGGCGGATATAGGGGATGCCATAGGGTGCACGGGAGGGGTGCATATAGGGGGTGCTCATAGGGGATGCTATGGGGTGAACACGGGGGATTCCATGGGGTGCACACAGGCAGTGCAATGGGGCACACGATGTGGGAGGGTTGGGGGGTGGAGGTGCCACCCATGGGTGCCACAGCGCTGTGCTGAGCGGGATGATCCCATTATGGGATTATCGGCACTCGGGGCCGCCGTTAATTGGCTCAGCTCCTTAATGAGGGCTGCGATGCCACGCGGCCTCCTGTGCCCCCACCCAACCCCGAAGGGAGGGGGGAGCAGAGCCACGGCTGCAGTGTGCAGCAGCACCAGCACACGAGCGTGCAAGCATGCGTGTTGCACACTGAGCACACGTGTTGCATGCTGCATGTGTGTTGCACACACGTCGCATGTTGCGTGCACGTTGCACACTGAGCATGCACGTTGCACACTGCACGCTGGTTGCACGCTCTTTCACACGTTGCACGCTGCATGCATGTTGCACACGGAGGACACACGTCGCACTCAGTTGCACGTTGCACGCCCAGCATGCGTGCTGCACGCCGCATGCAGGTGGCACGTTGCACGCTCAGCACACACTTTGCGTGCTTTATTTGCACGTTGCACACAGAGCACAAACATTGCATGCTTTATTTGCACGCCGAGCACACACGTTGCACACTTTAT